GGGAAAGAGACTAATTAAGTTAAATGATGATGTAATGTAAATTGTTTTTCATATGACTACATGAATCAACTTTTCTCCTCCAATTCTTCTTGTTTTCACCGAATTTGGAATGCAATAATCTCGAGTAATTTATAAGATTAATCTTGTATCAAAGTTAATTTTAATGACAAGTTGAGATTATTTCATTCACCATCAGTCCAACTAATATGACATTAATGACCAATGAATGAAAAGATAGTCTATAGCATTTGGACTGAAGTATTGCAACCCATCACCGTTTGAAATTATCCTAAAGAGGAGAATTTATTTCCAGCAACAATAATACAAATTAACTCTAACAGTATCACTTTTTTATAATCGAAAATTATCCAATTTATTTTTTATAAAAGTGTTTATTGCTTGAATAATTGTTTTACATGTTATCTTATTGTTCCAGGTTTATTGAGTGAGCAATTATGTTACATGTTATTTTATTGTTTCAGCATTTGCAATGAAATTAGTCAATAACATTGAGAAAGTGATCACTGATTGCAATATATAATTGGTATTGATATGTTTTAAAAATGTTTAGAAAAAAAAGAATGAGTCTAAAATGTGAATGTGATACAACGGATCCTTCAGACAGCTGATAAATAAGCCTAATTTAAACTTTGTTGTTTACTAAGCTATGCAACATTATTGCGATAATTAGAGATCATCTGTACAGAATGATTTTCTCGTCCGATTATGGATAAGTTGTTGCCCGAAAATACCAATCACCCGAACTAATAGCCTTATCAAAAATATTTTGTCCCTGAACAATGCTATGACAACTTCATTTTGCATAAATGAAGAGTTTAGTAATTAATTCGAAGAATAATTGAATAATTTAAGTTCTGCAATACTTTCTTCAATTACATCATATCTACACACGTAATTTCTTTTTCCTCATATCTTTTTCAGGTAATAAACTCTCTGATAATTAAGTGCTAATTATCGTGGTTATTGTCAGTATCATTATCATTACATTATCGATAAATGTTCATTGACAAATCTTTTAAGATGAAAATTAATCGTATTTTTTAGCCATTTCAAGATGAAAACATTGTAATAATATGTTATTGGTATATAAACGTACCATTCCGAGCTGCTCCCTTACACGGTTTAAAATCGCTCGCATCTGAAAAATTTCTTTGTTTTCAACAAGACCTTATTTGAAAGCAAAATTTAAAACGGGCAGGATATTAATAACATTTTACTGTCAAAACTGACAGCAACAGTCCCCAACCGAGCAGATACTGAAAGGCAATTTTGAAATCAGATGATAGCTGATGTAGTTCTGTTAATACCGCCAACGCCAACGCCGTCCACCATGTGCCGTTACCTCCTGGCACCGTTTCCCGGTAATAATCATCAGCAAAATGATTTTCAACTATAAAGATAAAACTATTTTAAGTGGAACACTAAGAGCTACTCGAACATCAGTACAAGACTATTTTATACCACAATATCTTGATGATAGTGATAACAATTGATGATAAAAATAGCAGAAGGTAGTGACCGTAATGAGGACAACATGTTAATCAAACAAATTTCAGCTGTTTGAAAACAAAGAAGTAACACAAATTTGAATTTTCAAAAAAGCTCTAAAAAATGATCAAACAAATAGACAGACACAAAGAATGCGAATAGATAGACATAGAATATGCAAATACAAATCCAGCCAACCGATATCCAGTTCAGTCCGGCAAAGAATCCATGGAAGCTTTTAATTTCAATGAATTATCTTTTTGCAATTATTCTCAGGTAAATAACTTTTTTGATTGAAATTCTCGAAAGTTAGTCCTTTTCTTAAACAATTTTTGCTTGCATGATCAGATAATAATAGCAATGTTAACCATAACCAGAATGAATATCATCATCAGTCTTAAAGACAGCAACAAAAATGACACTGATGGACATTGTGGACTAATTTGTTTTGTTTTTTGTTGTTTCATCGGATTAAGTAAAATTGATTAGTTCAATAAATGTCCTTGACAAGCCAACATTATTGAAGACGTAAGCTTCAACTGATGCCAATATGAGATGCCTGAAGGTTCTCTAGTGCATACTACCATTATTGTGGTTTTAACTGAACACTGAAGAAATGGAACGGTAATGATCAGTTACTGAAGAAGAATGAAACGAAGGTCGTTCCGACACATGATAATGAGACTCAAAGTTGGATAGTCTTCTTCCATATGGCAACTTATACGGTTTTCAGACAAGTTCTTCGTCAGACCGAGATACACCACTAAATAGTAATTCTGAATGTTGACAAGGTACCAGGAGGAACTGATGAATTTATTGTGTCCAAGGCAAGATGTACTTTATTTAGCAGTGGAGCCTGAAACTTATTCGTAATACGCAGAAAAGAATTGTGGAGTGAGAATAAACATGAAATACAAAGGAAGAGACTATTACAGAAGATTTAGACAGTTCCATTATAAGAGATTGAAACTACGTAAGAACAATAACCTTAAATAACCCTGAGTAACGAGATGAACGAGTCCGAGATGAATTATTAAATCACGGAAAAACTCAAAGATAAAAGTTGATTGAAGTTCTCTGAAGTCATTACATGCCAAATATTTAGTGTTTATTATAACTTAAACATAATACATTTTGCGAATAAATTGATTACTATGCCAGCCCCTTTTTTTTTAAGTTTTCAATGTAAAGATGCAGTCACTTCATAAAAGATAGTATTACTTTGATATTAATATATATTCAAAACAAGACATTCACCTTGTTAACGTAATATTCAGCAAATTGATACTATCAATGTCATTTACGATCAAAATATAATCACATATTGTTTTCTTCTTACAGATATATAAACTAAAGCCAAGTAAAGTTTTGCCTTTCTGCCTATTTTCAGTAGCTTGATCTATTACGAATCAAAATTAAAATATTCCACATAATGACGATCATTTGTTGATATGATCAGTGACCTTAATTATTATTGTTAACCTTGTTATCAAAACAGTTTCGCTCATCTTGCAATCAGACAATTAAGTGGGTATCTCGTTTCCTTAAATTTTATCATTCCAGCAAAGTGAATCACTCGATGAAAGAGTATCGAGATAGTTGATTTTATCAAATACAGTAATCAGAATTTGCAAAGTGACGCTGGAAGGAGCTTCTTATATAATATCGAAGCGAACATTTTGATTGATTTAAGAAGCATAATCAGGAAACATTGTCAGCGAAGGGAAATGATAGAATTCATTGTGCGGTAAATGACAGAGACAGTAAACATTCATCGATAATAAATGATTATTTGCATTCGCTTTATTAGTCAAAATACTTTTGATTGTTTGATTTAATGTTCTGTTAACATAAAAAGGAAATCTCAGAACTATTTGAGTTTGAAAATTATCAAACATTGTAAAAGGGAGGTGATAAATCATTTTAATGAAATAGTTGAAATTTCCAATTTTGATGAAATAATGAGTTTAAGAGTAGGTTTATATGATAATGACATAAGTCTACTGTAGTATGCATATTGCTCCAATGAAGAAGGATAATTTTTACAATGATTACAAAAGGTATGGTAAACATCGATTGCAAACGATTGTGTCGTTTGACATGCTTACGCTTATTTGAATTTTAAATGAATAATAGATAAATCAGAAAAAAAAGTGTAATAATCGATTTTGACTTCAATGATTAAGGTTTATGTTTGGGGTTAAAAATTTTGTCTACAATGATGGGCAATATTCGTTGAACTAATAATCCACAAAAAATTGAAAATTTTAAGTTTGACGTATTACAAGATAATGTAAGAAGTTAACTAAAAGGTGTGGCTAAACCATTTAGAAATGAGAATTCAAAAATTATTTATTGAAAAACTTTGGATTGAAAAAGATAGTTACTGAAATAGAAGCATCAATTCGTAACATTTTAATCCTTGTTTAAAAAATAAGTTTCAAGGAGACTGGAAATTCCATTTTGAATTTATTTCCAATAGGAACATGCAAAAAGATTTTAATTTTAAAAAATGTCAATCTTCAAAAATTGAACTTATTTATTGTAGGATGAAATGAGTTTTCAACGCTGTTATTTGAATTGGATTTTTTCGAAAATTTGTGTCAAAAATTGTCGGGAAGAACAAAAGCTTTGTGAATTATTAGTTATTAGCATGCTAAATGTAGCAATTTAATAGATGAAATGGATTCATATCTTCATATTTTATGCGAAACTGTTTCTAAAGGCAACAACAACGAATTTGGCGCTTTTTGTTTCTCCCTTCTCTCCTTAAAACTTTATCTATGACGTCATTAGGGCACTGAAATAAAACTCTGGCAGTTGTAGGAGACATCGATTTGATCTTGTATCAAGAATCAGTGATATCTCTTGTGGCTGAAATGCTGATGTTGTGCTAATATTCGAATTTATGAAGCTGATTTTCTATCTGACTTTCTATCGATCGCAAATATCGATTGACACTTTCGTTCATCACTGTGCTTCATCAATTTATTAAAAAGTGGATAATTTGACTAAGATTATAATTTCTTCGTAAATATTTTTGTGAAACTTAAGTATTGCTTTTCAGGCACATCTATGAATATACGGTGATTGCTTGCAGCAATATTTACCGGCACGTTTCGGTCAACAAAGGTAAGTTAATTATGTTAGTAAAGCCACGTCTTTTGAACAGAAAGGTGTAGCTTTAGTTGCAAGACGTAGCTTTACTACAACGTTTATTTTAGAAAATTTAATTTTTTTGAGTCACGCAAAAACAAAGAAATGTTAATTTGTAAGAACGAAAAGCTATTTTGGAATAATCAGGAGATATTTGAATTTCTTCGTACTTTATTAATTTACGACAGATGTGCTACCTGCTCATTTCAGCAATCATTTTAAACAGCAAATTAGCAGTTGGATAATTGAACATTCAAATTGTTTCTGTTGTTGTTATGTCCACTTGGTATCATCCTAATTTTCAAAATTAAGTAGTACGATTGAATAAAACGCTTATTTCTTGTATTTTTTTCAAATAATTTCAATCTTTCAACAACTCCGAATGAAATTACATTTCCTCTATAGCTTAATCTTTTGCTTCATTCAGTAATATTTTATTCCTTAATAGGGATAAATCGAGATTCCTTAATATTTTTGTACATTTAAACCAATAATTTTTTCAGTGCTTCCTTGTGATCAGATAGCACGATTTCATCCTTATTATAACATGATCAAATATCTGTCTTATCATGAAATTCAATATTACGGCGATTGCAATCCCAAAGACCAAGGCAGATTACAGTGAAGAAGTTTTTGCTGTGAAACATAATTCCAGTTGACCGTACTTATTTCGCTCATTCAAAGGAACTTGTAAGAGTATACGCAGGGAGCAATTTCAGTTTTGTATCAGGTGCTAGGCGTTCAACTTTTTTTTTTATCTTTCACAGTTCAATGGCAGTAGGAAATTCATCATTGTCTGATTATGAGAAATTTGGGAATAAATTATGCAAAGCTTATTATGAAATTGCCATTGTGCCAAAAAGGGACGTGCATTTTTAAACATTATGCGAAGATATTTAATTATGAAATTATGTAAGACGTTTTCACTGCAACAGACGAGGTAAAATGCGTGTAAAAACTTGATTGAACGTCAAATTTTTTCAGCCTTTAAATAATATAAACTGGAATCTAAAGAAAGTGCCTGAAAACATTATTGTTATTTAAAAACATTTTTTGCATGTTTTCGTTACTCTTCCCATTAATCATTTTAATACTAACTAATTTAAAATATTTATCATTCATTTTTTAAAATTAGCACTAATATCTTCAAATGCTTCATTCTTATAGTAACTGTTATGAATATTCATTTAATTAATGTTCAAAATGTAGAAATGGATAATAAATACTGATAATACTGCGAAGCATCTTGATAAAGATTGTTGAACGCTTGGAATTAAAGCCTACAATTTGTTTGAACTGGATTGGTCTTAAAGTTTCAAGTTAAATTTTTTTTAATAGATTCACATTAATAAATTGATATTTGATATTTTCAATGATCTTTAACCAAAACCATAAATAAGTGAAAAGTTATAAGTGAAAAGTTTTTTCTTCAATTGTCATTTGCAAAGTATAATTTGGAAATATTTTGTAGGCATGATGTCTCGTGTACTTGATGCAGGCGATAATGAGAGACATCATCGCATCTACTTGTGCTTGGTGTTGAAAAAAAAAAGCTTTTGTTTCAAGTTTTTTTACATTTTGATTTTAGTTTAAGCGAATTTTTTCTTTTTGAACTAAATTAGAATTTATAATCAAAACGTCTTGGTGCGATAAAATGGTTTAATCGCGTATATATCAACTATAAAAATTCAATTTTTATTTTATTCCAGAAATAAAGAATCACAGGAACTCGAAAATAATCCTGAAGTGATAGTTTTCACAATACGTAAACAATGATTGGTTAATCATTTGCATTGAACCCACTAAGTCCTGATCACTAAGTAAAAGATCTTGTTTAATTATTGTCTAGATGATTAGATCCTAATTTAAATAATTCCACTCATGAAAATCTGTAAATTTAAGAAAAGCAACGTAATCTAGAAAATCTAGGCTACTGCTCTTGTTATTGAATGAGGAAAGTGAAAAGGACAAGACTCGAGAAAGATTGGCTTCGGTTTTTATAAGATTATTTTATACTTACATGGCACTGTATATTTCGAAAAAGTATTTCAGGCCTGTAGTATAAAATAATGATGTTCTTTTTGAAGGCTTCAAAGAGATGCAAAGTTTCCTTGAAATCAGTTTGAAAAGATAACATCAATATAGACAGATCTTCAGCATCAGTGACTATAGTGAACCAATACCTTGCCGCTTACTTATCCACATTTTTCCCAGCATGACGAAAATTTAGAATGTATCATCTGCTACTGACAGAAGAGTTCTTGCAAAATTCAAGTGGTGAAATTCGATGATTAACAGTGCGGTAGATGTGATCCTAGTTTAGTCTTCACATAATGATTTTAGTATTTTTAGCAAAGTGAATTGAATGAATCAGCGCACCACTAGTTCTTTTTCTCATTTTTTATTTGCAGCCAGTAAATCTGAAAAATAACTATTGAAATGAAAAACCATATTTTTGAAGAATCTTGTAATTCCTCTACGGCAGACATTGATCGAAAGAATAAAACTTATCACGGTTATCTGTGATTTTTCAGGGCAATTAAATTATACAAATTAAGCTCAGAAAAACTTGACCTTCATGAACTTAATCCCCAAAATATGAGGTGAATTGTTTCGGTCCAGTTACATATTCAAATATCCAAACCTTATTTTGCCTCCAAATCATTAACTAGAATGAAAAAGGATCAGATACGAGGATAGGAAGAGGGGATATAATAGAATTTGTTTCAATGCTTTGTTTGCTGAACGGATAACAAGCTACTATACAAAATATATAAACATTTATATGTCTATCACAGGTTTCATTTTTTGTAAGGATGACTTCCAATCAAATTCCAGCTTAATGCTTTCTAATTCTGGTACTCAAATAATGACCATGCGAACAATTAGAAATTTAGATTGTTCGAATTTAAGTTGTACTAGTTGTTAAATTCGCGACTATTCTGATAGCATTTGACAAGCATGAAGTTAAGAAACTGTAGAAATCATGCATTATGACGAAAGAACAGTACAGCCGTTTTGCAATTTTCGCCGACAGTTGCTCTATCTTCTATTACAAAAACTGAACATTCATCGTTGTTGATCGTTTACTGTTTTATCCTTTTGATAATGAAATCATAGAAGCTGCATTTTCTTCCAAAATATAATAGTTAGCATACCTTCCCTATGTAGCAGCATTTCTTCCCCATCTAAACAAGAAGCAAGGAAATGGTACTTGAAGTTTGTTTGTCACAAATATGCCAATGAATCTAGAAAAACTAAAAGTGCACCATTTCGTTTGGGTACATAAACACTTGAGAAAAATGTTTTAATGGAAAACACCATTCTTTCTGAACTATCATCTAATTCTTTTAAAATTCATGAAGAAAAACGAAATTGCAAAGAACAAAATCACAAGAGATTTATATGATGGAAAACTTAATTAATCCATTGATGGTTTATGTGAATAATCATGTTTAACGGTCAGATACCTTACTACATTCACTTTATTATATTTTTGTCAGGATTTTGGAGACTGCAGTACCTGTAAAATCCTTACTTTTCGACATTTTAACTCTGCAAACGCGTCCCTTCGTGTTAATATCCCGTACTAACAAAAGAGCTGTAAATAGAAATACAAGGAAACAGCAATGCAATATGAAACGGATATTTAGATTAGCCCAAACAATATTATATGGCTCATGAGACTGCAAATGCTGTACTCACCCACAACGGTCAAGTTTAATGAGGAGCAAAAAGTTAAAGAAACAAAGAATCGGAATGCATCTGATGGAAAGGTTCTAGTATCTGTTTAATATTGCAACAGTTTACAAAAACACAGTAGACTTAAAATATGATGAGATGGCAAATTCGCTTATCATTACTACGTTCGGATCATACTAATAACCAAATACATTTGGTGGTAATTTAAAATATAATAATGCATATGGCAAAAATGCGTTGAAAAAATACGGCTAACGCAATCTGCTAAATCTGCCCCTAGAAACTCATGAGAAACCAGCTGTTTCGTTTAAAAATCTAACAAAATTTCAACTTTAAAAATAATACCTAATCCAAGATTCATCATCATACTGATTCGTTGGGATCATCAAAACTTCAGGCACTCAAGCTGAATCTAGAGTTTCACTACAGCGTCATCGCTATACTCCCTTACCGGTGTCATAAGATTATTTATATCCGTATTGTAAAATGAAGTTGTAGAATTTAAACGCTGTAAAAGTGAGGGGATGAACAGAACAAGAAAAATGAACATTTTGTGAGACAAATAATTAAATTACAAAGAAATCGGTGTCAGTATAGATTTCTGGCAGTTAAATCATAGCGCGTCAGTTTCCCGAAGAATTGGTACGTTAACGATGAAACAAACTATACAAATGTCGATTAAAACATTTTTGACGAATTAGATGCCCAAGTAAGTACCATTGTCCAATTGGCACTGCAATCTTTTATCGAATATCCTGCAAAAACGTATGACTAAGACTACTCAGATCATCCGATTTCTCGGTATACAGTTTAAGATATATATCTTTGGCAGTTTAAGATATATCTTTGGTAGTTTAAGAAAGAGAATTACGAATATTATTCAACCTTCATTGCCTCATACTTGACTCGAGACAACTAACATCTAACACCTTCAACATGCAAAAAAAAGAATCGTCCATGTTTCAGGAAAACAACAAAAATTTATTCGTTTTAAGATATATACTCATTAGCTTGACATTCGCTCTGAAGATTTGCAAACCTGCTTTTGAGATCAGCATAAAAAAGGCCTTACTTATAGGATTTGATGGAGGAATCCCAAATAAATATCTCATTCTTGATACGTGATAAATCGTATCCTTCTTTCTGCAGACTCATTTTTTTCAGCTTATAAGTACCTGTAACACGCACGAATCAGCAGTCTAAAAATAGATTTAAGATTTTTGAAAGCGCTGTTCATTTGAATTGTTCTTATATAACAATTCAATCGTTTTCCTATAAAGTTGCCGAAGTATTAAATGCAAAATTACGCATAATTTGGACCTGTTCGTTCGAAATCTTTGCAGAAGCGTAAAAAAATAGGAATAGCATAGGATGGAAGACTGTTCTTAAGATGATCGGTTATTTTCCATATCACGTCCTAAAAACAAACTATTAAGCTACGCACCTATTATTTATATTACCGAAATTTTTTTTTTATTTTTATTTCAGAAGCATGATTAGTGAAAAAAAAGACTAAAGGCCAACTTTTAAAAATTCGTCCTCTGCTAAAACGATGGCAGCCATACCAGCACGACCTTCTCTATCTGGAAAATTCTTCGAAAACTAAAGAATGAACAACACATTGAAAAAATGAACAATAAATTGAAAAAAGAATGAAAAATATATTGAAAAGTGACAAAAAACAAAAATAAATATAATATATAGAAAAGTATCACTACACCTACTCGGTATTTCGACACTATAAACAACAACATCCGTTACACATTTCAGAAGTTGTAAAATGCCTTCCACCTCCGTAGTACTAACATTTTCCCCTTTCCATCTAAAAAAATATTGCTCTATATTTTGATGAATAATTTTGAATTATGACATCAAAGATTTAGCAGCTTAATATACTTCCAGAAAAATTAATGGGTAAAAAACTGCAACAGTGGAAGATTAAAGTGATATCTGTCTTCCATAAATATAATCAAATGAAGGAACTAATAGTAAATCCCAAAAAAAAAACCTGTAAGTGTCGCCTTTTCGATCTTTGAAATATAAATATCCTAGATCATCCCAATATATAATATCGCCTGAGGTAAAAACAGCATCACCTTTGCGTAAAACATTCCTTATTATCTTCTTTCCAGTATCTTTCTCGTCCAAATACCCTTCAAAGCTGCAAAAATCCTCCATAATATAAACCAAAGCACAATAGAGAATGTTGAAATATTAAAAACCTTAAACTACACCATTTTCCATCCTTCACCAATCGATTACTGGAGCTTCCATATCAGAAAATAGATAAAACTACTTTTTTTTTGATTTTCAAGAAACGAAAAATAAGTAATTATAATAAGACAGAGAAAATCACCTAAGTAAAGGTTCATCTTTCATAATGACACCGACCATTTCACCAGTTTCACCAGGTTTACACGGCACACAAAACCCATCTTTTGTACGGATTAATTCACCGGTATCATCGTTAACTTTGAGTAAACGCACAGGATATAAGTACTTCACAAAAGGATGCACCGGAATAAAACCACATGAGCCGACACGATTATCTATATTCACTAAAAGTAACATGATTTACAAACTTTCGAAAAATCCCTAAGAAGCAAATAGTGTTTTAAAGTAACACTGCCTGAAGTTATTCAGCTTTCCGGAATTGTAGGGAAATTGCAATGTAAATCTCACCACCTCAAAGTGAATACTCAACTAAATGAATAATTTGATCATAGAAACTTTTTTTTGTCAAAAAATGAGTCCCCTTGATGAATTCTCAAACATTAATAAATTACGAGAACACACCAATGCTTGAATTGCCTTCTGTACTACCGTAAAGTTCACCAATTTTCTGGATACCAAAACGATTCACGAATTCTAACCAAATTTCTGCACGTAAACCATTACCAAACATAAGACGTATTTTGTGTCTCTTCGCTTCCACAATATCCTTTTGAGCTAAAAGATATCTGGAAGCAAGGGATATTCATCCCAAATCTCGAAAAAGTGAAAAAAAAAAAATTTGTTGATCCTCAGTATCATCAGTAACCACTATTTCTGCTCGAATCCTCTCCTCCCTCAACTTAAGTAAGATAGTATTTTGAGCTGTGTTAATCTTTAAATCAGAAAAAATTGTCTTCAGAAATAAGAAACCATTATGAAAAACTCCACCTGCAAATTTCACCGATATACTGACTGACATTACAATTATATTTGACACAATCTTTCCAAAAATTGCTTGCAGAGAATTTCTTCTTGATCACACATGTGCTACCTTGTAGCACCATCTGTCCGATACCAAGGATTCCTCCAGCGCTGTGATAAACTGGCATCATTACATACAAACGATCTGTTGTAAAGATCCCAAAGGACTTGGCTACACCTATCGCCATCCAGTAGTACCTAAATTTATGACGAAATAAAAGCATATTTATAATATTTCGAAAATGCAATATATTCTCGCATCATATTTGTGGATTTATGCTGGATTTATGCTTAGAGGGTTTCTTTTACACAACAGTACAAACAATGAGTTTACATTAATTCAAACTGGTGCTTTCTTAAAAGTATCTTGATGTGATATAATTCCAAATGAACTCTTATACTACCATCAAATGATTTGCATGGAAAAATTTTCTCTATTCGGATAAGTTAATTCCCAAGTTCTGGAACTATTAAGAGTAAGCGGATAAATGTTGATACAGAATTCACTTGCACATACCGGTAATGCTTTATGAGTGCCGGCTTAGGATTCCCTGTTGTTCCTGATGTGAATATATAGCAGAGTACTGCTGAAAAAAATAGGAATGTGAGTGAAAATAGTAACAGTGGGAAGAGAAATGAAACGATATATTAAAAAAGAATTTCGAAGGTAAATGTAAAACTAACAATGAAAAAGACGATAATAAGATAAATAAATTACATCTGAATATGGAACGGAAGAATTAAGCTGTAAAACTGCAAAATAAAAGCTCACGTGGACGAAATATTTTCCTGAATCCTTAATTAGATTTCAAGTTTCTTCAAAAAATTTGGTTCATGGCCATATAATTATGCATTAATATCGGGTATAATCAATCAGCAAAAGAGTACTACATTTATTCTTTATTGCCTTTCAATTATAACATTGAAGGAACAACATTACAATTTAGAAAAAGAAGACAAATGATGATATAGAAAGAAATGATTACATTTGAATGTTGGTTTTTCATTTGCGATTGGTTCCTCGGAGGAAATTGAAGGAATTTTCGTAGCCAATGATAAGATGCCATTTTCAGTATTACTGATATCATCTATGACATAAACTTTCATTTGTTTTAATTTCCCGGATGAAAATATATCTTCTAGTGCTGAAAAAGGCGAAGATTTTTGAGCATACATTTCCTTCATTTTGTTTCGAAAACTTTCCTTTCAGTGATCAGATCTTTATAACAGAATGCATGATGCGAACCAATGTAAAAGCAATCATATGACGAAAGAAGATAACTTAAATCAGAATAAACCAGTTATTTGTAACAAAGACCATTGTTGGACGCAAACCGAGAATGTCTGTCATTCATGACTTACGTGAAAGAATAGTTTTGTTTTTCAAAGTAATGACAACAAAAAACTCCTCGAGATTAAGCTCTTTACACTTTCCACGAGCAAATGAATTCTTTTACAAATTTCATTTGCTATTTGTCCTTGACTTTTTCTTGAGGTAAATTTGTTGCTTAATCCTACTGTAATTTTGCAGTCCAGTACTCCACTGCCAGAATGGTATTTTTGAATGTGTAAGTTTTGCATTAAGATTCCTTGACCAAGATCCAAAAAATCATTACAAATGACAAAAACTAACCAGGAAAAAGTGCACTGCTGGTGATAACAGACCTTGACTTCGAAATGCTGATTGAATGAGCAAGTGGTTCCGCCTTGAGATTTATATTCACCCACGAAGTGACAACACCTATCTTACTTAATCCGAGCCAGATGGCGGGAAAATCAGCACAATTTTCAAGAAACAATGCTATCACATCACCATTTTTATAACCTTGTGACTGTAAAACGTTTCTTTTCTCTTTTACTTTTATTTTGTTAGATTTTTGATTTTTTTTCAGCAACGTAATATAACATATATATTTGCGAATAACTGCGTTGGAACAAACCGCCATTAAAAGACTTTAATGTGCATAATAACTTCACAAAAAAAACAATGGACATGCTTATATTAAACATAATTTTGGAAAAAAAGTGTGACTGGTAAACAACCTGAAAATAGTTCGCATATTGATTGCACAGTTGATTCATTTCACGGAACGTGAACCTCCTGCCTGTATCCACTTCAACCAGCGCCTCCTTATCTCCATAATTTTTGACATTCCGCAAAAATATTTGATGTAACGGCTCATTAGTTTTCATATGTTTCCAAATATTCCATCTTAACCTGATCAGTAATATCAAACCACTGCAAATAAAAGAAAATATAAAGGTACTTTGCACTGACTTCAGGATCATAAAATAAATGATAAAAAAACACATTACAACAGAAAATAGAATTGTATATGCAGTAGAAGTAATTGTACATGTGCAGTAACCCATATACCATAAGAAATGAATAAAGTAATGATGGAAATGAATAAATCTTCCGAGCTGGTACATTTTATGGTAAATAATCAGTAGAGCTCAAAGAAATATGATCATAGATGAAAAAAATTTCATTACTGACAGTCATTTTCTTTAGCAATAACATCTAACGAAAAGGAAAATAATAAATTACTGGAATGGGTATTTTAAAATATGATTGCTAGTCTTTTAAAATTTGAAGTTCTGTGAAACACAACTTAAATATAGCTGTACTGGCTAAGTCATTTGTATCATCTTTAACTAACGCTCATAAATGCGATTATTTCTCAAATAATTCATCCACCAATCTTTCAATATTTAACATAATTTAAAATACAATTACTAGTTTTTCATAACTTAAAGTTCAGTACAACTCACCATAAATCTCTTCCAAATGTTGAACGGAGCTGAAAAAAATAGTGTGAAGTAAGGCACTGATAGATTAAATAAACGAAGAGGGCAAAGAATGTATATAATGACAGAGTGCATACTAATGATGACCAAATCCTTAATTCAGTAAAGCGCAATGTGCTGAAGTCAAACATCCTGCAAATAAATGAGATTTAAGGAAATGTTCAGTCTAGCAAGGATCCTCAGTTAATAAAATCCAGTGCAGTAAAAATACCCGAAAAGACTTAGAAATTGACATACCCGAAAAAACTTAGAAATTGGCATTAACACATTTAATTTAATGTAAGATAGCGAACTGACTGTTGAGAAAAGCTATGAGAACTGCTGTACTGTTTTCACAGAAAAATGGTTGTTTTCCATGAACGATACAGGGATCGTCATATAACATTGTTAGCATTAATTTCTGCTATACCTCTATATTTAAAGGCAGTAGTAAACTGTAGATAAAAAGGATCTGGAGTCAATATGTACGACAATGATAAAGGTGGTTTCCAGAAATTTCCCCGAACAGCTATCGGGTTTTAAAAACATGCAAGTTATTCGCAAAAATGAATAAAGTTCAATTTTTGCTAACAATTGCTAGCGGACCTCGATTACATCAAGTGATGTTAATAGTGAATTAAAAATAACCGACAGGTTTACTTAGTGACAAATCACTTGAAATAACAAAAAACTAATTCAAACAACAGTAATTCATGTGATAATTCGTTTGCTACCTCACTGGAGTAGCAAATTAATTGATCGAAGTAGAATGAATTACAGAAGACAGTAACCACTTAACCTTCAAGCACATATGATTGCTACACTTGAAGCAGTTTATTCGGAGCACCAGATCCTTCCTTAACACCCACCAAGCGGAAGACAGTACATCCATCCATCACTTGTTACCAAAATCTCACATTTTGAAAGGAAATTTTATATTTAGTAATTTTCAAAATCATAAATTGAAAAAAAAATGTTGGTATGGATTAGCATATAATATAATATGCTTATTTGTACAGCTCACTTTAGATCTACAAAAAAATAAAAATAAAAGTAAATCAAAATGATTTTACAAGGTTTAGTGTAAGAGATGAGTGATTAAAAACTTCGTAACATTTATCACAAACTGTATGTGTGCTTCAGAATCAAACGTCCAGTAAAAAATGGAATAATACTTTAGGAGGAAATCATTCGAAAATTCTATAATTCTTATCCTCCCAAGCAGTAACATTTTCAGTGTGCATTAAAACTGGAAAATTAAAGTGTTATCTCATTCATCTCTCCTTAATACTCAACATAATATTGAATATGGATGTTTCTGTGTCTCTGAACAAGAGCGCAGCTGATGAACCTAATAAGAACGAAAGGCATATCGAAAATTAGTTTCCACGAGCAGTATCAAATAATCGATTACCTGTTTCCTGGTCGCCTTTTGTGCCTCTATACAGCTGACTATTCGATATAAACATTGCGCTCCAATAACAAAAGACGTTTTCGAAATGCTAACCACACTATTCTTTAAATTTTAAATCCAATTCCGGCTAACAGTTATTTAGCCAACAATTAACCACATTTCCATACCCTTGGAGGAAGGAAAGGAATAACACTAGCAACAAACATAAAAAGAACGACAGGAATGCTAATAAATACAAACAGGTCGGTAGCCGCCGCTATAACAAACACGATTAAAAGTGATTCGGCGACTTTTGAGCCAATAACTAAAATTACATTTCGAAATAGTTCACGGGAAGGAATAAAATTATAAAAGAAAGGAGTGTTATTAAAAGTAACCCTTTTCTCTTCCAAAACTCCATTATAGTACCGATTTAATTATGTTCAGGAATAATGAATCCTCGTCAAATAATAAAGTCGTCTGTCCAGCTGAACATACAACAACGACTGCAAAAACAAGTAAAAGGAATGACAGAGAGAAAGAGGACTAGTTATAACGATAAGACAAATAAGAAATGAGAGACAAAAATTAAAAACAGTTAATGAAGGAGAAAGAGTAGCGACTTGATAATGAACTGTATACGTAACCTTTTCTTCGTAAAGTGAAAATGATCATATTGCTTAAAGTGTAATCAACAACATGTACTTATATGTTCCAGAACAGTTGAATAAGAGAAGAAATGACAAAAACAACATGATCAAGCACAAATAACTGGCGAAAGCAATAAAATTTGCGAAGTGTGACAAGGCTAAAACAAAAATTCCGATAGGATCACTAAAACATTGCTCATTTACAACTTGCTGACAGTTTTTCTGTATTATAATACTTAGGAATATTTCAAACCGTTATTTCCAAATTTCGCTTTCGGGATTAGCTGCGGAGACTCAAATTTAAAAGAGTAGATTTGGCAATTTCGAAATAATCCACAGATCAGCCTACGAATACTTCTAAGGAAAACGAATTTTTACGTAAATGCAGAGAGAAGGAAATGGACCAACAAATATGGGTATAAATATGAATGACGAATTTTCGAGATACCCAAAATTTATGTGTGGAAGAAAAGTTACTTCAAATTGAATCGACTGGCTTGACAATAACGGATGTCCTAGCGATAGTCAGGTGATTTACAATCCAAAAGCAGGCCATTATCATGCCTCAAAATTAGCGTGACAAAGATTAGCAAATTGCGAAACTAACTCAGCAAATTTCACGGATGGGAGTGAAGGAAGGAGAAGACTCTGAATGACTGTGAACGGTAGGAGAAAGTTTTGAAGACGGTAGGAAAGGCTAATTAAATCTTTGAAGTATTACTGAAACAAAAACTACGGAACCAAAAAAATGCAGAACACAGCCATGCAAAGCACATTGCGGTTCTACAAAAATTTTTTCAGTGACGACTCAGATCACTCATTCAAACTCAGCTACATTTATTCATTTGCAAAAAGCCTATTTTCGATCAATATAAAACTTCCATGAGCGAGATATACTTAAAATGCCAAATCACGTCAGTAAACTGTCCTGAGAAAAAATTTTAAGTGAAGATAAGCTTTTTCAATTTTTGTCTGCTTCCTACAAATAACGACACTGTCTCGTGGGAACAAACTTAGCACCTTGATAAATCCTCTATTGCAACTGCAGCAAAAAAATGAATAAATTTGACATAATTTTTAGGAGTTCTGTCTCAAAGGGAGAAATAACATACTTTTTTATAACATATTTCTTTTTGTTTTCGGTATGTAACGATTAAGTCTATCTTCAAAACTGTTGAAACATATGATGAAGAGGGTATGAGAAAAGTAAAAAGAGTAAGGAAGTAACGAAATATGTGGTATTACACTTGTGAGTAGTACTATGATGGAGGAAAATGCGTAGAATGCAAGGTTTTTATAGAAATAAAAGAATGAAAACAGGAATAAGTTGGACACTGTGAAGTATATGATAAGATGGATAAGATGGATACCGAACATTACGACATCCCATTATAAAGACGCTGACATAATTTTAATGTAATGCTACGAATTGTTTTCTTTTTAGGGGGAGTTCCTATCCAAACAATACCCTTTAAAAGGGAAAAAAATGACATTCCACCTAAAATTGTGGAAATCATTATCAGTGACAGACCTTAAAAATCGGGGGCAAGTTAACGAAAATCTGTGGAAGCAAAATCCGAAAATCATTCATGTCAGCGAATAAATTTGTTAAACAGTGGAGAGAAAAGAACGATAATACGACACAGCCAAGAATGTCTGTATGACAGGGCTTTGAAATAATTCAAAACTTCTACAGAAAAAAATTTTTCGCAGTATGACAGACTATTTAAAAATTCTTTTTTCGGCATTGCCATATGCCTCGAACGAAAACATACTAATAGTAATCTCATCCATTTCCTTTTCAGGAGTAATGACAAAAAAATGGATACTAAATGGTATCCATTAATCCTTCTTTCATTAAGGAATTCACTGCCCACTTTTGGGATGCATCCACAGTGATATTCACTTTTTTTTGCTGCAAATAAATAGAAAAGAGATAAACGAATGCAAAGTTTCTTTCTAGTCAGGCATGAAAACTACTTAACTGGATTCCGTGTACCCCTTAGGCAGAAGTAGGTGGGAAGGAGAGTAAAAGAGATGGAAGGAAGAAACCAAAGAAATGGTAATGACTAAATTGTCAGTGATATGCAATCAAGAACTAGGAGTATTGGTATGTGCCATTTACAGCTGTTTTTCCAGGTGTCCTAACTGTACTAATAATAAAGATAGGAAGAAAAGGACAGGTGTCGCCGATTTTCTTCAACCATGACGAAGACTGAGGATTATTTTTGTCTCTTTAGGTTGTAGTACCTCAAACTTGGGTAATTAAACCTTCATTACGATTATGAATACAACAACGAACCTGCAACTACGACATCGATAGAGCAAATTAATGACGAAAACACTAAGAACAAGAAGACCAAACCATACCTTATACCTTATATCCAACCAACCTCAATGACACATTTGCAAAATGAATTGGGGCT